TCAACGCGCCTCTCCCTACACATCCAAGGACGCTAAGCCGTCGGGGTAGCATTACGCTACAGGATCAGAGCACCCACCAGCCACAAGAAATCGCATTAATAACCTATTTCCGCCGCCTAACCACACAAATATTCACAGTGGTTTCTGACGTCATCGCGCGTCAGGATGAAAACGCAGGAGTGACCGAATCCGCATTGGTTCCTGAGAGCAATGGATCCAGTATCGACGCCGATGGAGATTCCGCGCTGGACACGGCGTTATCTTCTACCGAACCCTTACTGCCTTCATCGTCTTCCCGCAATTTGTTAGACGAGGACGATATCATCACCATTACATCTAGTGACATGACGGAGATGGGGCTGGATACATGGAGTGTATCGGATCGAGCATTTGTGGAGGAACTTGTGCATATCTGGTGGGGTCGCAAGGCACAAGTTCACGGAGCGAGAATTAACTGCTGTGGGGTACGAATTCTTTAGCAGGAACCATATGCAAAAGCAATACATACATGGATGTGATATATATTACTTACCTATATTGTCGAATTAATACAGATAGCATATCATGGGGTGCCAGCTTCTACGTACTTAAATAAAAACTGTCGCCGTTTGTAATTTGTTCAGAACATACATCCAATATTCTATTTGTAGAGTGTTTTTCGACGTATTCAGGGTGGAAATATCAAGAGTGAATTTTCATCTGCAGCTACTAAGATATGGGTTCCAACGTTGGGATTTTGGGGAGTTGTTTTCTAATTTTTGCCGGACCACCACTTCTTCCTGAGTTACCAGCACATGAACGTGTGGTTGAGCGTTCAATGACATGAACATCAGTGAAACAAGTCTCTTGATTTCTCTAAAAAAATATTAAAGAAAAATAATGATAATAAAAAATAAAAATAAAATCACAGGGGAAACAAAACGGGACAAGCCATAGAGGAACGCCTAACCCCATAGAAATGCCGAAAATAAGATCGAAATAAAATAAAAGCAACATTGAGCTACATGACGATAAATTGCTAGCGATTCAACCCAACGGGAATGTCAGATAAATGCAGCGGGCCACTGAAGATATCGTAAAAGGAGGAGAAAACGCACTTTGATAAGAAGGGATGGGATTGGAGATGATAGACGCTAATGAATGATTTTTGCTAGAAAGGCGAAAGGAAGACGAGGATGAGGCTTCGAGCATGATGGGCAAAATTGACATCGTGCAAATCAGACAGAAATGAAAGGATTGGGATGAAAACTCCAAGGACAAAAGCGGACATGAAAGGAAAGAAATATTAGCACTCGCGTAGAAGGGTATCTCTCGAACTTCGATACCCTATACAACTGTAAAAGACATTCCAAAAACAATAGAGGGGGGCGAAACAAAATAAAACAGATATATCACTCGGTATCTACCGAATGGCTAAAAGAAATTCTACTCTTGGAAATAAACATCGCTCAATATCTTCCAATAGGCGCGCTGAAATCTCTCTTAGCTACTCGACTAGAGGCTCGACTACTTGTAGGAATTTTCTTCGAGTTATGGACTGGCGTAGTGTTGGCATTTGCGAGGCGGGAACGAGAACGTGAGGAAGAACGCGAAGCGGCATCATTAGCGCTAGCAGACCTTTTTAGAGTCTGTGCACGACCCCTTCGCGCCCGGATCTGGGCGAGTGCTTCTTCTCGCGTGACAGGGGTACCAGGGATAGGGCAGTTCATGGTAGAAGAGTAATCGTCAGCGTGGAGAGGAATAGTTGTAGTAGTGGACATTGCTGTCATGGGTTCTGTTACTTTTGGCGTCGTGGTATCAGCAGGGTCCCTTCGGGGTGGTAAATGGCCTGTTTCGATATGTAAAGTTCGAGGGAAGGAGAGGAAGGAACTTGCCGGTTCGGGGGCAGCCGGAGGTTGCGTGACAGGGTCGCTGACGTTCTGTGCTTGGCCTGGAGGTTCTGTTTGGAAGTCCGTATGTTTGGGATCTTCCATTTCTATCTCTGTGGTTGGCGACACCGGCGGAGAAGCTGGGGAGGGATTATGGTGGGGACCAGCTGGCAGCGGTGAGGGTTCGCGGCTAATAGTATGTTGTAGAACTGATGGTTTCATAGCCACATCATTTTGAGCTGCACAGGGCGACACTGTTTTAAACGTCCCAGTATCTGGACAGAAAGCTACTGCAGGCTCCGTGACCTGCGTTTCCTGGAGTGTTCTGGGGTTCGAATTACTGGCTGGAGGTCTTGTCACTTGAGGAGCAGGTTGGTCGTCTGATATGAGGTTGCCAGAATTTCCCTCCTTTTCCCGATTCATTCTATCCCACTCGACATCATAAATGTACCTAACCCCCTGCATTTCTGCGAGTCGACAGGAGCAACGATGAAATTGGCATTCCATCTTGAGGAAACACACCATATCTTCTGCCTTTGATCGCAGGCGTTTCTCCCATTCAAGGTCCTGCTCCAAATTTTCGAGAAGTTGGTCGTACACAGCGGCTTCAGGGTCCTCATTTTCCTTACATGAATTGCGCCGCAAAACCTTCATTTTAAGTGGAGATCCTAGTTGCGGGCTTGTAATTTGAGAGGATACGCCGCTCTTCCGGGGACTCGATGGCCTTTGGTGCGGTTTTAATCTCCACGACATTGGGGTGTACGTAGTAACATCTCTCTCCACGAGTGGAACTCTGCATTTTGGGTGTTT